AACTCATTAGCATATTGGGCCACACCCCTGACAGCACAGCTCATTAGCACATTAGGCCACACCCCCATGTTACCAGAAGTGTGGTCATCCAGCCACACCCACCTTTTGCTTCTCATTCTGTTTACCCAGGGCTTTTTTGTAGCAGGAACTCCTTTGCATGTTAGGCCACACACTCCTAATGTAGCCAATCCTAATGAGTTTCTGCTGTTGGGTGTGGCCTATTATGCTAATGAGTTCCTGCTGGGCGTGGCCAACTCGGGAGCCAGCCGGAACTCCGTTCCTGTGCGTTCCTGCCCAAAAAGAGCCCTGCATTTTGTGCTGCCTGTCCTGAGCACTCACTTGGGTGGGTTGCCGAAGGAGCTTGCCTGCTTCAGAAGGTTTTGTAGACAAGAAGACGAGCCATGATGGGCAAGTCTTTCAGCTAGGCGGCTTTTGAACACCAGCATCCGCTATAACCGATCTCCACAGGAGGTGGCATGATAGGCAGCTGAGGAGGCCCACGTTCAGTCTACACAGGTCTGTAAGCCCATTCAACAACCATGCGTGCCATAAAACAAGACCCACCATTCTGTGCCCCGAGAAAGGCTCCCTTGAAAGCAGGAGAGGGATGTATTGGGGCTCTGCTACAGATGTTCATGTGCAGTGTTCAAAATCTGAAAGTGGAAAGCAAAATCCAGATACTTTTGGTTATGAAAACATAAGCCAACGTCCCCCCCCCCCCCACCTGCTTGCCTGGTTCACTGAATGTCCCATCTGTTGACTGTCCTGACTCACGCTGTGTGATCTGACTTGAGCCCAAGTGAGAAAGGTGGGCTACAAACAAAAATAATGTAAAATGAATAGAAAGTCAAAATCTGTACCTTGCATAATACTGATGGGCCTTGAACTTAACATTTGTAAGTCGTTTTGGCTCCCTGTGTTAGAGAATATTTCCTATTTCAAAATATATAGCACAATGAAAGCAGCTTTTTCTTTCAACAGCAAACGGTCGTTTCTGTTTACTAAACAGCAGAATGCTTCACAGTCAAGGTGAGATGCTGGCCATTCCATAGCTCCAGCCAGGAACCAGCACTCAAGATAGACTCAGCAGACCCTCCAAAGCTGACGTGGGCATATCAGCCTGTTCTTCCGGCCGCTATTCCTAACTTGGAAGTGAGCCCAAAATGATTCTCACGGTCCTTAGCGAAACTAAGGAAGATGGAGATGTTTGTGGGAGACACCACTGAACATCTGCAGAAAACTCGGGCTTACTGGAGAACATGCCCAGCCAACAATGTCTAAACTGTGGGAGGAAGAATACTGGAAGAAATCCTTATAGATGGGAAACCGTTTGGACACGGAGGGCGAATTAGCACACTTTCTTTATTGCAGGAGACCAAAAATAGTCTCCAGGAGAATTCACACCATTACGACTTATATTTAAGAGGTAATTTTGAAACAGCTGAAGGGAGCAGTGTGCCATATTTATTTAAACTATTATAATCTACCTTTGCAAAGTTCCAGGTAGCCAGATAAAAAAAAAAGTTTGAAAAAGTGTAAGACACGATGGCTGTGACAATCTAATAATTATACTTTCTTTAACTCTATTGCCGGTGATTGAATGGGTGTGTGAGATTGTTTTCACACGTGCCTAGTGCAAATGGTGTGATTTTACAGATGTGCTACCTGTTTCTACAAACCATGATTGACAGACACCATTTTCTATAGCCCAGGTGTGTGTCCCCCCCCCGCCCCCCGCTTTGTGAAAAAAAATGGCTGGGGGCAATCACCTCCCAGTAAGTTAGTAAAACAGTAGATCACCGTGTACAATTAAACAATATTTGTTGGTTTTTATATGCAATGTTTAGAATTCAATTATTAACAAAATTACAATAACACTACAATATGCGATATAAAGCTGCAAGCCATATTTCAAAATGCTAATTCTTATACAATTTTTTGATGTATGCTACCGCGCTTAGACTCTGGTGACTGGGGAGCTCCTATAGCAAGCTCTAATGTGACTGGGTCTACTCTACAGCATATAATAATTGGCTAAGCTGAGGGAAGCTTAGCCAATTATTATATGCTGTAGACCCATTCTAATGAAGAAATAATTACAGAATGACAAACCTGAAGAAGGACACGCAAATGGATAGTATACTAGAACTCCGTCGTTTGTCTGTAACTAGTACTTGTATTACTCTGTATGTACTGCTAAGCTTTATATCGCATATTGTAGTGTTATTGTTGTAATTTTGTTAATAACTGAATTCTAAACATTGCATATAAAAACCAACAAATATTGTGTAATTGTACACGTTGATTGACTGTTTTACTGGCTATTATACACCGTGGTCCTGTTTCCTGTAATAACATCTCCCAGTAAGGGCTGGGTTTTTAGGGTGGGGTGGAGAGAAGTCACTCCTCCTGTCCTCAGGGTGTGTACCGGAATTATCATCTCCCCCTCCCCCAATCCTAGATGTGGAAGGTGCTGACTGGTGGTAGGAAGAGACGGGGATCTGAAGAAGAGCCGTGGAAGAACAGCAACGGGCGGGGGGGTGTGTGTGCGGTCTGGCATCTCCTTGGCACGATGTCGGGATGCATCCACGTGGGAATGAGATCTGACGGGGGTGGATCCCGGACATATAGAACTGCCACGACTGCTCCTGCCCCACAGATTATGTTTCGGGGTCATTCGTCAGTTCCTCCTGGTCCTCTGTCGGAGGGCGTGTTCTCTTAAAAAAACCAGTCTGCAAAAAAATAAATAAAAGTTGTGGGATAAGAAACAGGACCAGACCGGTCAGCAGGAGCCACATTCTGGTTGTGTTCCTTATGTGGGCAGAAAGCGACTAAAAGCCCTGGCAGTTCACTCTTCTGCAGCCGCTCCATGTGGAGTCAAGCTGCCATGGATTCAAGCTGCCACAGATGTGTCTGAAGATACCTTCCGCTGCCATCCATCTAAATGCACCCCAGCACATCTGGCTATTCATATAGTCTTTCATACTAGAGCTGGAATAGATTGGAGGGGGGAGATTTCAAGCACACTAGCTAATCTGAATTTGCATGCGCGAGCACACACACACACACACACAAAGCACTTTTAGGCCGAGTTCAGACTGGCAATTTGAAGCGCTAGGGAGTCGCGGCAAAGAAAACCTGGAACAGACCCAGAACGGCTTGGTTGTGGTATTCCCGTTCACACTGCAGCGAATGAAGCGGGAGGATACCGTGGAGGAAGCGCAA